TAATTTGCGCAAAAAGCGTTAGTTCTCATTTATTTTGTGTTGTTCCCGAATTAGACGATTTTTTGTAACACATCTAGAATATTAGTAAAAAAAATGTACACATTTTTAAAGATATCTAATTTATACGTACTTATTCGCTTACATGCGTTATTTTCCAGATAGGGTCAATACAATTCATGGAGTAATTAGTGGGTTAAAAAAAATTATGCGTCTTATTAAAAACTGGGAAAAGTGAAATTATTGAGGATTAGCCGTTGTGACAATGATTTACGTTTTCTAATCGATGTGTAATTATATATGCATATTCGTCACAATGACTAATGACCTGGGCAAATTAGCGTAATTACTTGTTTACTTTGTACAATGGTTGGGCAGGTAAATTCTTCAATCTTTGTTTATTCGTTGCCATTTCATTACAAGTAAATATTATGCAACCCATCATACGTCAAATAGAAATAAAATTTAAGGGGAATACACCCTTAAGTTTGATTGGATTAAAGGAGACCCGTTGCCTCCCGAACTGCTTGACGTTCCAGAAAGCTTTGAACTGGATGAATTTGAAGATGAAGACGAACCAGAAGTACTAAACTTAGACGACTTAATACACGAGGATGAAGAAAATGGCAGTTGATTAAAAATGATACTATAAAATCATATGTTGTTAGTTGAGATTTTTTATAAAAACAATTTCATTTTCATGGAACTGAAATAAGTTCATAAAATAATATTGCTTTTAATTCAGAAAACAAATGAATAACGAAAAACAATTGAACTTTTTTAAATAGCATTGCACATTTTTATTAGGCTCATTTGATAGATATTTTTTTCCTCTTTTCAATGACGTAACACGTTAGCACCCGCGTAGAAGAAATTAATTTTTATTTCAAGCTTCTTGTGATAGGTTATGCCCACTGCCTTAGTAGTTCATTACTGCCCATTGTTTTCTGGAATTTCGGGTCACTTGCAAAACGTCTGCTATAACGGAATAAATCGAACGACCTTGCTCGTTTTAAAACAGAACGTAGAGAAACTAAAATCAATTATTAACTCATTACCGGATCGGAAATCAACAAATGTTTCTTTTTCCTCCTCTTCTAATCGGAGCGATCTTTTGAATGCTGCAGAAATCACTGCAACATCTGGACGGAAACGCTTGCAATCGGTGGCGGATTAATTGCCTAGTTTAATTACGGCCACGGCGACGGCGGCTGAAACAGAACTTTAGAAATGATATCTATTACCTGTAGTTTGCATCTTCAATTCCAAGCACAAACATTTTGGGGTCAACACTCGTAACGAAGCGATACCGGGAGGTTATATACACGGTGGTACCCAAAACCAGGTGGAAACTAGCTGCTTCGTTACATTAATTCCGCCTATACCTGAAAACTTAAGATTCCTAAAACGATGCATGATATAAATAGGTCAATTATTATCGATTTGTTATCACGAAAGATAAGGCCACACTGCAAAAAAACCTAAATAGATAGCTTATGAATCAATATTAAGCAAGAGTGTTGCCGCAACATTAACCATTTAATTTTTCTAATAATTTTTAATTTATTTCATTGCGGATAAATTTTCCTTTATACAAAATGCTATCTAAAACACACGAGTGTTTATCTGCAAAACCTGCGCCGACGAAAAGAGCAGACCAGAGTTGGCGTTTTCGAATGCAGACACATAAACGTACTACAATTTTACCGAAGGTTTTCTATGTGAAGTGGCTAGTGCCGGGTACTACTACTATAAGCTGATAAAGGGGATCCCCGCACCTACAAACATCCGGCTCCAGGTAAGTGGATGAGCATTGGTGTGTACTTATATTGTTTGCGTAATTTTTCTTAATACAGTCCGCTAAAAAAAATAACAATTTTTTTCACTCCTGTTGCGTAGACAATTTGGTCCGTTCGACCCGGTTTTCGAACTTAATTAAAATATTCAAAATTCAGGGATCCATTTTATGTAGCTTATCTAGTGCGCCAGACTTCATTATCTAGCGTCTTCCCGGAGCAAGCTCAGTATTGCGCGCGGTAAATATATTATTATCAGACGTCCCGATAGCGGAACTACGTTCTTCGTTGATGCAACATAATTTTCATTTTTTGTAGTTTTCTTGCTAGAGTTCAGAGTTCATTCGTCAGGGTGGCCTGTACTTCCTTTCCCAATATTTTCCAACATAAAATAAGTAAATCTATTTTCAATTTTCAAGGATTATAATGATATAGTTCCTAGAAAAAGAAATATGATGATGTAAAGATAGAAAAACGCGGATTTACTAACATCGTTTTATCTTCAATACTTTAAACCTAAAAATGAATGATTTTTAGTGTTATTAAAAATTAACGAACACCATAATTTGATTGTGTGTACTATTGACAAGCTCTCATTGAAATTTCGTGGCTCTATGTTGAACGGATCCGCAGTAAAAAAATAAATAGTGGAGCCGCGCACGGATTTTCCATAAGCCGTAATGTATTTCATATGACTCCTAACGTCACGTGACTTTTTCGAGCGCTCCGGCCTGTAAGTATCGTAGGCCTCGGTTTAACTGATACTATATCTCGAAATGAACAACTAAATTATTTAAAAAGAATCTTACATAAAAATGGGTATCCCTTAAACAAAATTTAAAAAATTACCAACAACATCGTCCAGTTTTACTTGAGGGAGTTTCAGTGTGAATAGATCGGTTTAAATTATTCTTCTAGTTGATTCAATTTTCGGTCAAACTCAAATTATCCTCGTAGCTTTTTTTGTAGTATATTCCTCAGGGTCCTTCTTTTCGACTATTAGATGTCATGTCTTGCCATGCTACTTACTTACCATTTTGATCTACAGAAAGGTTGGTTCCATGTCACCTTGTAGCGTTCGCAAGTTAAAGAAATCGGTGTATTCCATTTCTGTGATTTGAAATGGTGTTCCAGTCTTTTTAACACTTGTAATGTAGGTTTGAGTGTGCGTTGCTTTTGTTTTTCTATCAATGAGTGTATAGTATGTCGTCTCCCTCATTTTGTGTGTGGCCAACTACGAGGGCCGTTTTTTTTTCAACCTCCGGTGGGCTATAAATAAAAGACAAGTAAAGGGAAAAAAATTGTTTTATTACCAAAATGTACGTAAACTTATGCTTATTGCTCAACATAATCACCATGAAGATTGAGGCATTGGTATACCTGTGGACAAGCTTTCCAATACCCTCTTCATAAAATGTTACCGCCAGGGAATTGAAATGAGTCTTTTTGTAGCCTAAATGTTCGGTAACAATAGAGTGCAGAGAAGATCTTGACACTTCTGGAAATTCCACAGACAAAGGACTTATTGTGAATCTACGGTTTTTTTAACCACCTTGTCAACTCATTCAACAAGGTCGTCTGTAACGACAGACTTGCGTCCTTGACCTCCTTCATCATGCACGTCAGTTCGGCCATCTTTATCATTCCCGTACAACACCATCACTCATAATGTTTTCTGCGTAAACAACGGCATATTCTCCGATGGATTTCTGCTGCACTATTTCCTTCTGCTTGCATGAAACGAATAACACTTCTCAACTTGGCGGGAGAATCAATAGACGCGGCAATGCTTATGCGACTGCGGCTCAGCACAAGCTGGCTATTTGAACTCGGCAGTGACATATGTTGTGGTGGGGAAGATGCGCGATCGACTACTGCGCACACCGCGGGCCTGCGACTTGTCTAGCCGTCACCGCATGAGATCGGAGGTTGAAAAAAAAAACGGCCCTCGTACTAAGACCTTAAGATCTATGGAAAGAATCTTCAAAGTTTTTACAGCATGTAGAGGTAAGTGTCAACTTCAGTTACATTAACTCGTATGTTAAGCATGTCGATGCCTAACATGGACACCACACCTTACAACCCCTATTTGACTTTATATAATCACCTTATGACTTCCCGTCATAATATGCTGTTTATAACATTACTGATTTGATTTTGTTTGTTTATTATAGTAGGGGAGCTAGCACGAAATCCACTGAACGAGAATGATCAAAATTTTAACCGATGGAGTTCCATTTTGCCCTATCAGAGTATGCTGAAATCGATCGTCTGCCGCCTCAGGTCATACGACTTAAGGCGCTGCGGGTACTTCTTGTGGTACCAATTCTGAAAGGTTGTTTTTCGAAAAAATAAGTTATACACCAAATGAAAACGTTGATAATAGCTCTTAAAAAAATAGTTAAAAAAATCGCGCACATTTGATAACTCCGTAAAAAAACAATTCTTAGTCGGTTTTTCACGAACTTTCTACGAATATAACTAGGTTACCGTTGGAAGAATGAAGCTGATTTTTTTACAGACCAATGATAGGTACAGCCAATGACTATGAGAGTGTTTCTTTTTTAAATTTTTTCTCTAATTATAAGATATCTTATAATGTTAAGCTAATAAGATAATCTTGTAATTAGAGACAAAATTTAAAAACGAAACACCGTTAAGTCATTAGTAGTGCTTATCATGAGTCTGTAAAAAAAATCAGCTTCATTCGTCCCACCGTAACCTAGTTATATCCGTAGAAAGTTCCTGAAAAACCGACTAAGAATTGTTTTTTTACGGAGTTATCAAATGCGCGGGATTTTTTTAAATATTTTTTTAAGAGCTATAATCATCGTCAGTAGTTAAACAAGGAGAGTTCTGGCACAATGTAAATCTCCATAAGCGCAATGCTAAAGTATGGGTTCATTTCAGTGACAAAAACTCACTTTTTGGATCGGTCTTGATAGCGGTGTTTTTTTCGAGGTTTGAGGGGTTGTATATGTGTGTAGGGGTAGTGGATGTGTTTTAGGGGGGTTGTGTGTTAAGGGGTAGTAGGTAAAAACAAATTTCTAATTTTAGAATCATGCTTAGTAACACAAAAGCGGCGTACTTGATTGCGGTGTTTTTTTCGATGTGTGTAGGGGTAGTAGATGTGTAGGGGTAGGTAGGTAAAAACAAATTTCTAATTTTAGAATCATGCTTAGTAACACAAGCGGCGTACTTCATAAAATGTATAACTTAGTAGTAGTCGTTTGCGGTTGAGATTTATTTTTAGATATTGCGGTTTTATATATATAGTTATTAGAAATTGCATGGAAACCAGTCGAGTTCTACTTATCAACAAACTACGACACACAATTAAATTTGTAAAACCAATAGCGGTTGTTGTTATTGAAATCCAATCAGGTATGTTTTATTCCATTTATGACAATAATATCATGATAAACAAATTGTAATTTCAGTCAAAATGGAAAGCGTCTCTAAAATGAGCACTGAAATAGTAAAGCAGACCAGGAAACTAGCGACAATTTTGAAAACTAAAGCTGAAATCACTACACATATTGGTATTATTCGAAAAAACATCAAGTTAGTGGAAAGTTCAATTAAGGAAAAGGATGCGTTTCGTAATGAGAATTTAAGTAAGTTGGAGAATAATTTGGCCATTTTGCGATGTTACTTGACAAAGTTTAAAAGGATGAAAAACAATTTTACTAAAAAAGTTGGTGCAGGGATTAAAGCTAGTACTAGTAGTGGTAGTAATACTGATAAATGTAAACTGACGTGGAAAACGGTTGAAAGTGGGTTCAAAAATAGATTAATAACAGGTATTATTTCTAATATAGATGTAAAGGATCCTTTAGTTTTTCTACAGGATGCATACAATTGTTTTTCGCGAAAAATTAAGGTTATGTTAAAAAAATCTATGCTAAAGGTTAACGCTTATCTAGCGTGTAATTTTCTTCATCCTACATCTCTGGAAATCGATTTAAAAACCTTTGCAACACCAAATAGCATTATTGACGGAGGTGTCAACCTTAAAGAATGGTATAAAGAAAAAGTATTAGATAAATTGACTGTAAAGCTAAGTGAATTTGCAGGTAGAAATTCAGGTTGGGCTTTACATGAAGTGCTTTATTTTAAGGTTAATATTAATTCATATATTCCTTTGAATGGTGGAGGATTTTCAACATTTGTTGAGCTTCCCAAATTTATAGCAACTAAACATGCAGTCATCAATGTGCGAAACAATGATGAATATTGCTTTCTTTGGGCGATAATGGCAGCTATATATCCGGTAGCAATATCCACATTTCAGTACAGTTTTAAATTATGATACGATCGAGTTCCCAATAAAATTTTGCGACGTAAAGAAATTTGAAAAACTGAATAATCTGGCAATTAACGTTTATTGCATTGAAGGTAAACAGGTGCTTCCATTCCTACTTAGTGAAAACCTTACATGTGACAGAGAACCTATAAATCTATTGGCAATATTTGTAGGCATTAATAACGGAGTACCTTTTTATCATTTTGCATGGATAAAAAAAATGTCGGCACTGTTTTCCAAACAACAGTCTCAACATAACGGTACAAAATATATTTGTAATAGATGCTTAAATCATTTTTCTTCTAGTTCGCATCTTGAAAAGCATAAACATTACTGTAATCAGATAAATTCCTGTCAAGTGATCTTGCCTACAGATAATAATCAATATTTAGAATTTAAACATTTTTCATATCAAAAAAAAGCTCCTTTTGTAATCTACGCAGATTTGGAATGTATTCTAGAAAAATGTGACAATGCTGATATGCATAATAGTACAGAATATTATCAAAAACATACACCCTTTAGTATTGCATATTATTTAAAGTGTGACTATGATAATTCGCTGTCAAATTTTTCTTTATATAGAGGTCAAGATTGCATTCAATGGTTTAGTTCAGAGTTGTTAAATATTGCAAATAAAACTTCGCAGATATTTAATTATATAGTTCCAATGAGAAGTCTTACTCAAACGGAAATCTACGATTTTGAAAACGCTTCCATGTGTTATATATGTAATAAACCCTTTTTGAAAGACGATGATGATGGGAAGTTATGGAACATTGTCATCGAACCGGAAACTTCAACGGCGCTTCACATAATTCGTGCAACCTTAATTTTAAAGATTTACCCATTATCCCAGTAATTTTTCACAATCTGAGCGGATATGATGCACATTTTATTATAAAAAGTTTAGCTGCTGATTTTCCTGGGAATATTAGTTTATTGCCATTAAACAAGGAAAAATACATTTCATTCACGAAAGATGTCAGTAATACCAACATTAAATTTAGATTTATTGATTCGTTTAGGTTTATGAACAGTAGCATTGATAAACTGTCATCATATTTAGAAGATCATAAAAAGACAATTACCAAATTTCACTGTAATAATGATACTGAATTTCATTTATTAACAAGAAAAGGTGTTTTTCCCTATGAATATCTTGACAGTTGGGCAAAACTCAATGAAACAATGTTACCGTCAAAAGATGATTTTTTTAGTCGTTTAAATAATGATGGTATTAGCGACGAAGAATATGATCATGCAAATAAGGTGTGGAGTTCATTCAATATTAGAAATTTAGGAGAGTATTCAGATTTATATTTAAAAACAGATGTTTTACTTTTGGCCGATATCTTTGAGAATTTTAGAGAAACTTGCATGGAAACATATAAGCTGGATCCATCTAGATATTTTACCTCTCCAGGGTTAGCTTTCGATGCGATGTTAAAACTTACGGGCATTAAGTTAAAACTTTTATCTGATATAGATCAGGTAATGTTCATTGAACGAGGAATTCGAGGTGGTATAACCCAATGTTCAAATAGATATGGAAAGGCAAACAATATTTATATGGGTGAGAAATATGATTCAAATGTCGAAACGTCATATTTAATGTATTATGATGTAAACAATTTATATGGTGCCGGGATGTCTCAAAATTTACCATATGACGAGTTTCAATTTTTAAATGATTTTAATATTAACGATATACTCAATCATCCGGATGATGCAGATATTGGTTATATTTTAGAATGTGATTTAGACTATCCTCAACATCTCCACGAAACCCATAGCGATCTACCTATGGCACCAGAACATATGATTCCTCCTCAGTCACAATCAAAATTAAACAAATTAATGTTAACGTTATATGCAAAAAGAAATTACATTATACATTACCGTAATCTAAAGATGTACTTAGAACATGGTTTAAAATTAGTTAAGGTGCATAGAGTGTTATCTTTCAAACAATCACCATGGCTAAAGAAATATATTGATCTAAATACGTACATGCGGCAGAAATCAAAAAATGAGTTTGATAAAACCTTTTACAAATCAATGGTAAATAATGTATTTGGCAAATTAATGGAGAATGTACGTAAATATAAGGATGTGAAATTAGTTACTAAGTGGGGCGGTCGCTATGGAGTGCGTTCGTACATATCCAAACCCAATTTTCATAGTTGTACAATAATCGATAACAACATGGTATTAATCGAGATGAATAGGTTAGAAATACAGTTAAATAAGCCTATATATGCAGGATTTTCAGTTTTAGATATATCAAAAATATTTTTATATGATTTCCATTATAATTATATATTGCCAAAGTTTCAGAAGCACGCCAAACTCCTATATACAGATACAGATAGCTTGATATACCATTTCTTTGTGCCCAATATATATGAGTGTATTAGGGAGAGCATTTATAGGTTTGACACCTCTGATTATGATGTTAACAATCCTTATAACATTCCTCAGGTTAATAAAAAGGTACCGGGATTAATGAAGGATGAAAACAACGGAAAAATCATGTTAGAATTTGTAGGCCTTCGTGCAAAAATGTATGCATACACTGTAGACGCACAGTTAATTAAAAAATCTAAGGGATCTAGAAAAGCTACAATAAAGGAGATAACAATTGATGATTATAAGGAAGTCTTGTTTGATCGCATTGAAATTAAACGATTTCAATATTTAATTCAATCCAAAAACCATGCTGTATATACAATTAAGCAAGACAAATTAGTTTTAAGTCCTCATGATGATAAGAGAATAGTTAATTTTAGTTGTACAGACACTAAACCGTGGGGTTATAGTTATAGATTGTAATTGTATTGTATATTAGAACTTCATGTATATATTATTATTATTTGTTGTTGTTGTTGTTTTATTATTGAAAAAAGAAGGAATAATAATAATAACCCATATTAATATTAAAACGTTTTTTATTTATATATTCCTATAGCACATACATACATCAAACTAAATTATCTTTATTAATCCATTGATTATGAGATTTATCTAAACCTAACCACTTAACATAAATCTGATTGCCACGTTTCTTTAACACCTTTTCAATGAGATACACATCGTGATTCATAGTTTTCTGTAGCTCATGTTCATAGAATCCTCCAGCTATCGGTTGTCCATGCATGTCTTCCAATAAATATTGAACTGGATTGGTTATCCTAATGTTGATAATTTTAAACAGTTCAGTTGACCAATTTGGTGTATATCCTTTTTCGAAAATATTTTTAAATTTGCTAATTCGAACAATATCGCCCATTTTAAACCGCTGATTTCCAAATATTTTTAAATGACTGTAAACATCCAACTTTGTGTGTGGCTGCACTGCAATAGGTCGCATTCCCGTTGTACGATGTTTCGCGTTATTATATTCTCTGGTCACTTCATCTAATATATCGATCCATTTATATTTACCAAGCAAATGAAAACGTTTAAATATCTTAGTCTTTAAAGTTCTTATTACACGTTCCGCAATCGAAGCTTTTTGCACACTATATACCGAATAATGATTTATTTTATTTTTCTTCATTAGAGCTGAAAATTTGGTATTGTAAAATTCTGTACCGTTATCGGTTTGCAAATTTGATGGTAATCTACTAGAATCTTTGAAAATTTGTTGAAATGATTTCACAACCTCATCGCCCGTTTTAAATTTAAGCGGTCTTGTCCATACAAATTTTGAAAATGCATCGATTACAACTAAAATGTATTTGTAACCTCGGTTCTCCTTTGCATATGCACCAAATTCCGCCAAATCGGCTTGCCATAAATCATCATATCCTTTGATCGTTGTATACCTTCGAGGAAAATTTTTTCGAGCAGGCTTAAACAATTCATTTATAACTTGCTCTTTAGGCGTTAGAGACATATCTGTTACTGGGCACTATATGATTATTTTCAACGTTCGCAACAATTTATAACCGCGTCATCGGGATATTTTTTGTTTCAAGATTTTCAATATCTCTAGCAATCACACCCATGTCGGCATATATACGCTTTATTTTCTTTTCAAGATCTAAATCTTTTTGCTCAAAGTGCTCGGCCAATATTTTTTTGATCTCAAAATCAATATACACTTTGTTATTTTGTTGTGTTAGTGATTTCCTTAATTCTGCAATTTCATCTGTAATACCTTGATGTAGAGAATTTTTATTTATTTGTAATTCATCAATTTTGTTCTTAATAACGTAATCAAAATATTTCTTTAACTCGTCAATTTCATGTTCTAGGAATGTTCTATTAATTCCATCGTTATCTTCCTGAGGGCTAGCCAAATTAACAAGCCGTTTGTCTTGTACATCAAAATAATCATTATTTAATGTTAAGGTTTGACCTTTAATTACAGCGTCCGTATAATGTTCAGCCTGTGCAACATTGGATAATTTTTTATTGTCAATGTCAAAATCACCATCTTCAGTCAGATTAAAACCGTTACCGGTTTGCCCCCTAAAAGAGCTCCCAGTGATGTTTAATGATGGTGAATATGAATACCGTCCAAACTTATCGATGCTCATCGCTGTTAAAACTGACATTTGATTCACAAAACCATGCTATTTATATCTGGTTTAAAAAATTGTAGTTACGAAACGGATTTTTTATATAACCCGCCTCGTATAATTCTTCAATAATTGAAATTATATCATTACGATGCCCTGTATGTCCTGCTTCCTTTTCGGCCCATTTCACTTGAAGTTCATCTATTAATTCATGCACATCATTCCAATATCTATGTGACGTATGTGTTACAACTTGTTTAAATAAAGGCAATCCTCTACCCGTTTTGTTTGAATAAGATGATGATGATGATGATGCTGATGGGGATACATATTTAACGTAGCGTTTATATTTATAGGATTTGCTCCCTTTAAGCTGACCATCGACAGTATGACCGCGTCTATTTGCAAATGTCCTATCCAAAATTTCACGATAATTTTTCTCATCGCTTTGTGCAATTCTATTGGGATCAGGAGTGT